CTCTTTGAATGAGCTTCTGCAATTGGGTTTGCAGGCAGAGTGAAGCAGCTGAGAGAGGAGGCACTTGCAGTGTTTTTTTCTGTCTGTTTGGTTTGGGTTGTTGGGGTTTTTTGTGAACCTGTTTATAATAGCCTGTGGGTTTTGGCACCTCTAGGTATGACTCACCAGGGTCCGTTAGAGCAGATGCTGCCTCCAGTCCCAGTTAGCAGAACTGATCCCTTACTAGCGGGACTCAGAAAACCCAACCCCTGGGGCTTTCAGCCTGATTATCCCACAGAGATGCCCACCTGCCTTCCAGCAGCTTCCCCTTAAAACTCCTTTTGTTTTATAAAAAGTGAGGGAGGGGGATGAGGGGAGAGGACAGACACACATCCTCCCCTGCTCTTACACGGGCCTGAAGAGCTGGCAACCAGGACATGAACTGATGACCATCAAGGCAGGCTCTAAACACCTACTGAGGGTCTCCAGGAGATCTGGGAGAGCAGAGAGATCTGGCTGCTGATGTCATACTCTGGCTGCATGCTTTGGGCTTGCATGACAATCCCTCTGCCCTCCTCAGCCAGCTCAAAACTGACAAATAAACCATGGGAAAAAATGCACATCATTTTTCTAGTGAGGTCCTAGTTAGCTTTTAACCACCACTTCTTATTTTTATTGCAAAATACTGCAGAAATAGCCTGAATTTTCAATTTACCTCTGGTGGTTAAAAAAAAAAACAACAAAACAAAACAAAAAGCCACAAAAAACCAAACAACAGCAACATCATCAAAGATCTTTAAATAGGACATCTTGGAGATTCATGATAAGAAACTCAGAAATTTGTTCCATGGGAGGTTAACGGTCCCGGATCACTCAGGCACTTCCTTGCCAGCCAACACCCCACAATGCTGTTTTTTAAGGAAGAGACTTGAGCAACAGCAAACTGCAGTGTATGTACTGGCCTATGGAGCTCCATCACCTCAGAAGAGACCTGTCTACACCCCTGGGGAGCCAGCCAGCCAACCTTCATTTTGAATAGAGAAAAAAGAATCTAATCCCCAAGTCTAAGGGGACATTTTCAGAATACCTTTTCTGTGCCCCAGCAGGAGAGGATGGTGCCTGCTTATCCAAAAATCCCCATGCCCATCTCTATAAACTGAGTCGAAGCTCTGTGACAATGCAGGGGGTTGTGCTTGCCTTGCAGCCTCAGGGGAGAGGGATGCAGCAAACGGTGACCTGTAGCTGAGCCTGAACTTTCTGTTTCTAATAAACTCAACAAATGGTTCCCGTCTGCCTGACCTGTCTCTCTGCCATCCTTAAATATTTATATCAGTGTATCTATGGTGATAGGTCAGGTTATATAAGTGGTGGGGGAAGGACAGCATCAGCTCCTGCTGGAGCTCCAGCAGAAGGAGTGAAAACCCAGGCAGGCTTCCTATCCAAGCAGAAGCTCTCTCCTCTTAGCTCATGGGCCCAGAAAGTGAACATTCATTTTTCTCAGGGCATCAGAGAAGACTGAGTCACAGCTGGGCTGAGTTGTGCTTTGGGAGGTGCCAGAGCCCAGCCCTTCGATGCAGAGAGCTCTTATTGTATAATCAATGTATAATTCATTAGTAGGTGAATAAAGACTTGGAATAGTTCATTGCTGATGTAACAGGGCTAAAAAGAAACCAAGCATGCCCGTGAGCAAGCTGCTGCACACTGGGGTTAAACAACAGCACTCAGTGATGCTGAGGGGAGCCAGGGGATTCTGTTTTGGGATAATATAAACAACCCAGCTAGCTGATTGCCAGTGACTCCAGGGTGAGCAATGCAGGCATTTGCATCTTCCTCCAAGAAATGCTGGGAATGACCTTTCTTCTTTGCTTGCTGGAGTCTAAGGGAATAGCAACTGGAAGACAGGAGGGCTTTAGCTGTTGGTGGGCACCTCCAGGCTCATCAGAATATATTTCTCCTAAGGGGTGCCACTTCCTTGCAAGCTGAACATCCATCACATATATCCCTTCCAGGTACAGAGGTGGGTTTTTCCCCTTGACCTTCCTGACAGGGGTAGATATGCAGGTTGCCTCCAGGTATAAATCTGTTTGAGGGACCCCCAAATGCCAAGTGATGAAGGTAGCAGTAGTTTTGTCCTGGGGGTGAGAGGGATGGCATGGTGGGGAGTGGAGTGGGTTCACCAGCAGGCCTGCAGTCATTTATGGGTTTGACAGCTCTGGCCAAAAGCTGCAAAACACACACAGCCTGTGTTTCTCCAAAACAGCCTCCAAGACTTCCCCAGAGCTCTCCCTCTTCACCCCCAGATTCTTCCCTCTGTCCCACACATTGTTATATCTCTCAGTGGACAGGTTTGATTCTTGCTGCCAGTTGCTCATTCTCCCAGAAGAGGAACTACAGAGTTAAGAAATAGATCACATTTCTCCCCAGCTGCATTTTAGCAACAGAGAGAGCGGCAATGACACTTCACGTGAAAGTTGCAGGATGTGTGTGATCTAACTGTGTATTCACAGCAGCTTCTGACCTCAGCTGCTTTCAGCTGTGCTGGCCAAGATCTCTGTGGGGCATCTTCCACCTCTGGCTGCATTTCTAGAGGAGAATTACAGCCAGCTGCTTTTCCAAACACATTACTTCTGCACCTGGTTAGAAAAACATGTGTCTATCAACTATTACTTCCAAAAATATTTTGTGTGTCTGTGGCTTATAAACACAGCTTTACCTTGGCAGGAGTTGGCTTGCTTACACTCCAGCACTGCAAGGGTCCACCCAGCTTTGCCAGCTTCTAGGGCTTTGCAAGGACTTGCTCAGCAGTGTCTTCTCTAGGAGCATGCTGCAGGCATCAATCCAAGCTGCATAGTGAAGGGGCTGCTGCATGTGGAAGTTGTATTTCAAGGACAGTAGGAACTCTCAAACACACGGTCAAAAGGGCAAGAAATAGCAAACTGGTTTGGAATCAAGACAGCACACCACAAGGCTGAAAGATTCTCACTCTCCTCACCACCAAATGTGGTGAGGAGAGTGAGGTTCTCTCTTCACCACATTTGGTAAAGAGTTACTGTATCATTTAACCAGTGCTTTCCACAAGTGCTCTAAGCATCATCCACTGCCATCAGAGCGAGTGGAAAAGCTGGAAAAGCTCCTCTGGCTCATAAGCAAGCTGTGTTCAGTCCAGCCACGAGCATATGGTGAGCCCCATGTAGGGTCTCTATGGAATTTAATGCCCCTGTTGGCAGAGCAGTGCCTGAGCAGTGCAGGGGCAGTGAAAGGTGGAGAGCAGCACAAAAAGTGCTTGCTGCTCCTATGGGCTGATGCTCCCCGGCCCCACAGGCTTATAGGTACCCCCAAAGGTGGCCACACAGGCCACAACAATCTGACCTTATGCTAGTCCCTCTTCTTGTGGCCTCAGATAGAGCTGGGGGGCTGTCTAAAGTAAAAGGAAAAAAGTAACTCATGAGCAGAAGCTAATGCATGCTCAGAGAGAGGCAGGCTGCAAGAGCCCAGATGATCTTAGTGGAAATAACTGATAATTGCTGCAACTTAATTGACAAGTAGCTGGAGCCAATTCACAACTAAATATTTAACTTTGCACCTTTGGTCTGAAAATTCCATTTTTTTTTTCTCCCATATATGCCTACATAAATAGGATTTCTTTCCTAGCAGAGTGTGAGTGTTGACATGCTTATAACAAACAGCTTCCTCTAGAGCAAGCCTCAGGAAGGCTCACTGCTCTGCAGGTGTTTCCTTGTCTGGCTGCTGGCTTGCATCCCCAATACTCAGCTCCGTGCTCTTCTCCCAGCAAAATCTCTCTCTCACTCTTCTCAACACTGTGTAAATCTTTGCACCACTTATCAATAAGTTCCTGGGGTTTTGCCCTGGTCACACAAGAGCTGTAATTTGCCCCCAGACAGCAGAAAATTAGGGACTAGTAAGTGCAAAAACATTCATTGTAGGACAGGGATGTTTTGTTGGCAGAGGTGTAAAAACACTGTTTAACACTCACCCACCCTGTGGGTTCCATCCAGCCATCCCTCGGCGCTGCCTCTTCTACAACTGTGAACAAAATGTTAACACTGCACATTTATGTAACAGGCTTCTAAAAATCAAGGAGCTGAAGGTATCTGCTTTTCTGCTTCTGAAAAATCACAGCAGGATGCCATCACATCCCTGCTGCTACACACAACACAAGCCCTGGGAGAAGAGAGTGTCCAACTGGGCATTGCTCTGTCAGCTCCTTGTTGAAGGTGCTGCTCTTTGCAGGGGAGCTCCAGCAGCCAGTGAAATGGGAATAAAGCTCACGAGATGGCCAGTGGCTGGACACACTCTTCTCACTCTTCTTGTGTTGTGTGGAGCAGCAGGGGCTCCTACAGGATGTCCTCCAGACATCCCTCTGCAATTTTCAGGTGCAGAAAAGCAGATACCTTCATCATATATATGATACTCCTGTCCACAACTCTGCCTTTACATTAAAAGCTGACCTGGGAAGGTGGAGCACCTAAAGCTTCAGCAGTCCTGGTGGTGATGCTTTAACAGAGATTCTTTGTACCCATTGATGAGAGTTGAGCAGGTAACCCACACTGATGACATTGGCTCCTCCAATTTGTCCATGATGTTTTTTGATATGGTAGAATATCAGCAGTTAACTAGCCAATGCAGAGCAGTGTGCAAGACCTGACTACCTAATCCTTAAAAAGTGAAACCACAGACATTGCTTCCATATAAATACTCTGGTCGCTTAAACATGTCCTTAAGCATTTTTCCTGCCTCTGCTTGCATTACACCCTGAGAGGTGCCAGCCTGCTGGCCCATCAGCTGGCTGAGGTTGGGTTAGGGTTAGGGTTAGGGTTAGGGTTAGGGTCCTCCAAAGGACCAAGGCCATCCTCTCCCTCCAGCACACTGCTAGGACTGGCAAGCACAAGCTTCCTGGGGATTCTCTCTTCCCAGCACTGAAAGAATTACTGAGTCCCCCCATGGTGCAAACCCCCAATCAATGCAGGCAGCTTCATGCATGGCACAAAAAAGAGGAGGTATCCTTTTGCAAGAAATTCATCTTTATTGAAGCAACCATGAATCACATGGGCTGCCAGCTGGCCTGAGGAATAACAGTAGCAGTAGCCTGACAGTAGCAGCTGGAGCTCACAAGGGAGATTGTCTCTTTCCAGAGATCAATATACGTGATGATACATATACATGTCTAAGTGAATACTTCCCCACTAGAAAGTGCATAAGCTGGGAAGTGCATATCATACCCAATTCCCTGCCAGACTGAGGTGTGTTGGTGACTGCCAGAAGGTAGCTTGAATATACACTGGGGCAGTTTGAACTTCATCCTGCTTCCAGTGAAGTCAACAGTGAAGCTCTGCTGGCTCCACGGGTGTGGAATGAGAAGACAGCCCTCCTTCAGCCCTTCACAACACAACTCTTGTGATGTAAAAAGGACGTGGAGTTGGACATTGTATTGTTTGACCTGGCTGCAGATCAGTCCCGTTCTCTTATAGATTTAAACTCCTGTTTGTATGTGTAATATCAAAGTCCTTTTACCACAAGAGCACAGTGGGTTAGCAAAGCCTGATAAACACAGAGCTGGGGCCAGAAGTTACAGAATCACACAGTTTGCCAGGTTGGAAAAGACCTTGGAGATCAAGTTCAACCTATGACCTAACACCACCTTATCAACTAAACTATGCCACTGAGTGCCACGTCCAGGCTTTTTTTAAACACCTCCAGGGATGGTGACTCCACCACCTCCTTGGGCAGCCCATTCCAATGCCCAATCCCTTCTTCTGTGAAGAATTTTTCTTTAATGCCTAGCCTAAACTTCCCCTGGCACAGCTTAAGACTGTGCTCTCTCATCCTGTCACTGGTTGCCTGGGAGAAGAGACCAACCACCACCTGGCTACACCCTCCTTTCAGGCAGTTGTAGAGAGTGATAAGGTCACCCCAAGACTCCTTTTTTCCAGTCTAAATAACCCCAGCTTCCTCAGCCAGTCTTCACAGGGTTTGTGTTCCAGAACCCTCACCAGCCTTCTGGATCTTCTCTGAATGTGTTTGAGTATGTCAACATCCTTCCTAAATTAAGGGGCCCAGAATTAGACACAGGTGTGGCTTAACAAGCCCCTGTGGAATCAGTGTGGCATCAAGATTTAGAAGGCTGACTAAATCCTAAGAATTAAAAAAAAAAAAAAGTTGAATTGCATTAGCAAGGAGGAATAACAGATATACATCCTTCTGTAGGTCAGTTGTTTCAAAACTCATTCACTACTTTCTCACTTTTTGTTCTGATCTCTACCAAAAGTTCTATAAATTTGGCAACACGTGAAAACAGGAAAACTAGCTGACAGTCATTGGATACCTATGTAGCATCCAGCATGATCAGAAAAATGCCCAAAGTTAATCATTGCAAGTTCCACTCTGGGAAAGCACATTTTGCATCAGTGGTGACACACTTCCTGTCATTTATTTACTGATAGTGCAACATTGATCCTGGGCTGCGATCCAAAGCCATCTTCCTAGAAACATTGCATCTTTGGGGGTCACAGGGAACTGCTCAGACGACAGCAAGAGAGAAGTTTGGTTTAATTCTGTGATTTTTGCTGGGCTTTTCTCTCCATTTGGTTGTAAAGAACTCCTTGTGTCCTTCTTGTGGAGCCACAGCCTGTACGTCTCCCATTGAGGGAGTCTGCATCTCTGAGCCCAGTTGTAGTGCAGGAAAGGGAAATGTGTGACACATATCCCATCACCTGATCCCACACAATACCTTCCCGGGGCAATTTGTGGGTGACTTCAGACATCTTCCTGTGCCAAGAGCTGGCTCTGCCTGGTAGGGATGCCCAGGCATCAGGTTTCTACCTCTCCCGCAGGGTGTATTTGCCTTTCCAGTACAGGTTGCTGCTGAAGTGGATGGAGAACCAGAGGAATGAAGTTAGGAACATCCCATAAACCTAAAAGGAAATAAATGAGATAGGCATACAATTAAGTGTGTAACTGATTAGGATGCTCCATCTGTGCAAATAAGCAATCATAAATATTGCCTGTTGTCACATTTTGCTGAGGAGAGCTGGTTTTCAGTGAAGTGCTGAACACCATTTCTGACATGGAAATTTTTAAAAAAAGCAACACATGGTTAAAATATCTGATTGGAGTTAGAATAGCACAGCTCAAACCTGGCCCTAAAAATACCAAGAAATAAAATGAAACCAGGAAATTCAGATTTAATTCCTGCCACAGAACATTCCTCTATGCAAACAAAAATATCTCTCATAATAGTAGCCTTTTTTAAAGAGAAAAAAACCACAACACCCATGTCTTGTTTGAAGAAAAAACCCCAACAAAACAAACAAACAAACAGACAAATGCCTAAACCAACCCCAAATAGTTATAAATGCAGAGGACAGTGTACTTCCTCTCTATTGTGATACTCTGCCTGGTGTATCACACGTCAGGATTAACACAGGCAACATACCCAAGGTAAGGCTGCTGTGGGAAGGATAATGAGGGCTTTAACAATGTGCTCTTTCTTCAAATATGCCCTAATGTGCTAATGCCTTTGCTTGCAGCTTGATCTGGGGATGTGTGTGCATTGTTGGCTGAGGGACAGTGACATCAGAGCAGCTACAGCCCTCTTTACGTGCTTCCCTTGCATCCTGCCATCACAATAGCAAACTGCACGGTGAGATTTCCTCTAGCACAGGCTTCAAAGACAGCTGCCTTATCTGGCTACAGCATCAAGCTGTGAAAAAAGTGTATCTGTTATAAAAGTGCTCCCGCTTTTATCTGAATATAGCTGCAGTGAAATTCTCCTTATACTGGAGAAAAATTGGAAAGTGACACCAAATATTCACACATGACTTTACATTTACAGCTTCATAGCAATGCCTGATGATTTTCCTAATTTACTGTTATAAAATACAAATTGTTTGTTCCTCTGGGTTTTATTTAGAGGGAGAACAATCTTCTAATTCATAAATGTGCCAAGGTGGACACAGGCATAAAACAATCTCCAAATACAGTTTCAATCAAGAAAGGTCATGCCATCTGGGGAGCAGCATGGAGATATCATAGCAGACCAAACCTGCCCTCATGGTGGAGAAAGGAGTCTCCTTTCACATGCTGTTTTCTGGTGTGCATCGCCACATGTTCAGAGTCCTTGTGTACAGGTAATTACAGTGATACACCTCTGCCAAGCAGTGGGTGGGAAAACAAGAAGGCTGGTTTTAATTAGTGGCCTGCTCCAGCTCCAAAGGGACCACCCTCATGCAGCCCCAGAACCCCCTCACCATGGAAAGATATGCTTCTCTTGCAGCATTTAATTTTCTCTTTTGTTCTCCCCCAAATTAACTTCAGAGCCTTTCTACATGAGCCATCATCTGAAGATGATTTCACCCCTCCTCTGCATGTTACTCCTTCAAAGACAGACCCTTGGAGCCCAGACAACACACTCTTCCCCTTTCCTTTGCAGCCTAATTTTTATGAGCCTGGGAGTTATCCACACATGGCCTGAGATGTTCCTCATCAGATTCATATAGTGGTCATTAATAGGATGAGACCTTCCCTTTCTGCACAGCTCTCCAGCTCCACTGCTGGTGCTCAGTAGCTTTCAAGACCTTCCAGCTCTGGCTGCACAAGAAACTTCCCAAGTTGATCTAGGAGGCAGCAAGTTTCCTAAAATATGAAGGCTTTACTGCATCTCCATTGCTGCTGGCTTCCTACATAATTCACAAGCCACCGGGGAGGTGACATGGCCTCTCACTCACAGAAGTCACACAGGCAAGCCTGAGTGGATGAAATGCAACTGCTGCATCCTACTCCCCCCTCCCAGATGCTATGCCTTGTTAGGGCACAAAAACTGTGCAGGAAGCCTCCTCCTGCAGGAAAACCCCTCCATCTAGTATCCTGTCCAGATTCCTGACCCTTTCCCAATTTCCACAGTGGAGTCCACCACTGCTTGTTTCTCTGTTGCTAGCATCCAAAATCACACAAAATTCTAGCTTCTGGGGGCTAATTTAAGATACTTTTTCCTCACTGGATCCTGTCCTGCCTTTCAGGGCCAAAACGTGAAAGGACAGACACTGTTACCGTGAAGCCAATGGCGATGCCCAGGAGTGAGAAGACAAAGTCCATGTGCTTCTTCAGAAAGTCCTGGATCTCTCGCAGGCAGTCCTGGGAAGAGAGAAACAAATACCCCTTGCAGCACAACAGCAGCTTGGTGGGGGGCTTTATCCCCACAACAGCACTTCCACAGCCTCAGAGAGAAAGGAGGCAAGAAAGGGGTGCAGCATTGCACAGCTGGGCAGTTCTCCCTTCTGCTGCTGCAGCTTGGGAAGACAAACATCTGTGGTATCTTTTCTGTTACTACAACACGCCTACAATTTTATTGGTGTGATGCATTTTGGACTGTGGAGGATGTGTGCCTAAGTGTGGTCAAGCAAAAGCTTTTTTCTTTTCACCCACTGAAAAATGGAAAGAAGGAAATGGAAAGATAGAAAAGCAGAGCACACCGTGATGCCAAATGCATTCCCCAGGGTTACTGATGAACAGCTCGATTTTGTGAGGTGCTGCAAACATTAATATACATTAGCCTTAAGCATACCAGTGGCCCCACAGAAATCCCCGAGGTGTTAGCCAAGACAGCCATTTCAGAAATGCAAGAGCATGCCCTTGATGAAGGGATTTGCAGAAGGAAGAAAGAGCGTTCAGAGTGAATGTAGTGTGGCCACCAAACTCTGCAGTTTCCTGTGTCACACAAAGCACATCCTCCCACTCACTTCCCTGGCTCCCAAGCGAGGGAAACAGACCACTAAGTGGGAGGAATGAGTCGCCCATACGGTGAACAGCTTTGTTCTGCTCTCCCTTCCTGCTCTTAGAGCCGAGTTCCACCCAGCCCTGGGATGTGGCACTCCGGGAGGCTGTGCTTAGAAACGCTGCCCCAGCGGGCTGACGTGCGCCTGTGCATCACGGGTGCTGCTAGCACTTGACATCTTCACCTGACAACGTGTTTGTATCGCTGCAGCCACGTGGTTTTGTTTTTCCTAGAAACACCAAATATTGATGCTGGTGGCTTTAGCTACTCTGGTGGAAGAAACATCATCGTGCAATAGATATGCTCAGAGGGTTGTAGCTTCAGTGCACAACAGTCTAATACTGGTGGCTTCTCCAGCAGCCCCACTGAGATGCTTGAAAGAGCCAGAATGAAGCATACTTGAGGAAGCTGCTGCTGGGTATCATCATCCTGCTTCATGAGCTTCTCATTTTAATACCTATTTAATGCCCTGAAGAAAATGGAATTACATCAAATTCCACATTTGCTGTTAACTGGAACACATTTTAAGTGTCAGAAATTAGTGTCATGTGGAAAAGTCAAACAGTTTTTTTTGTGCTCTGATACATGCTTGTGATATCTCACACTCTCTGCAAGCACAGGAGATGAGCAGGAAGCTCGAGGGAAGTGACAGGCTGCAAACACGAGCATTTTGAAAGCTTTCTAGAGCAGTGAAGGAGACTGCACCTGTGGGTCTGAGACCTGCTGATCCACCAGGGCTCTTCCTCCTGATTCACACAATCATAGAATGATTTGGGTTGGAAGGGACCTTAAAGATCCCATGCAGTTCCAACCCCCCAGCCATGGGCAGGGACATCTTTCCCTAGGCCAGGTTGCTCAGAGCTCCATCCCACCTGGTGTTAAACACTGTCAGGGATGGAGAATTCCTAAATTCTCTGGGCAATTTGTGCCAGTACCTCACCACTCTCACAGTATATAATTTTTTCCTAATATTTAATCTAAAACTACTGTAAGTTTCAATACTTATATCCCCCTGCAAAAAGTCCCTCTCCATCTTTCTTGCATCTTTCTCCTTTTCTAGAAGGACACAATTAGGTCACCTCCATGCCATCTCTTTTCCAGGCTGAACAAAAGCAATCTTTTCAGCCATTCCTCATAGGAGAGATGCACCATCCCTCTGATCATATTGGTGGCCTCCTCTGGACTTGCTCCACCAGGTAAATGTCCTTCCTGTGCTGGACCCCAGAGCTGAATGCATTACTCCCATACTGTGTCCAGTGTTATCGAAACAACAAAACAAATCCCAACCTGTTTCAACCCTAAACTATCAAAAAGTACAATTCTCATTAACACTTTAGCACCAGCGAGGTTTTGATAGCTAGGAAGTAGAGGCACAACCCCACTATGGTGTGGGAGAATCCTTTCCCTTACCTGTCCTTCATTGTGCACTTGGTTGGGTGGGCATGTCGTGTTCTCAACATCGGTTGTGTCCCCAAAAGGAGAGTGCTTCCCACAGCAAAGGAACTGCAAGAGAGGGAGAAGTTTGCCAGGGCTCTCCCCTTGCTACCAGCTGCTGCAGCAGGTGGTGCTGGCAACGGGCCCCTGCTGCCCCAGGCAGGGCTACCCAACCAGGGTGGCAAGGAGCACAGCCCATAGGAATCAACAACTGCAGCAACGCAGGCTAAATTCAGGGGAGGTAGATGGATCTGATTGAGATCTGTGGATGGCCTCCAACTTGCTCATGCTCTCCAAGGACTCCTGCCTGGGAGTGGGGCCGAGCCCTTCCTCTGTGGCCATATTAATGCCCAGTGGCTGCTCCAGAAAGCCCAGGGATGCACAGACTCACGTTTCCAGTGATTGTTATGGGCCGAGGGGATCCCCAGCAACACCCTCTGGGGAGCTGGTTTCCTATAGCTGTGGTGCACTGGACAGTTTAGAGCTCTGACAGAAGGAAAAAAAAAAAACAGGAGTAGAAAAACTGCTTCTCCATCAATTCAAGTGGCAACTAAAATAAGCAACTGGTGAAGCCAGGCATTGTGCCTGGTTCTCCTTGTCAAATGGGACCCTGGGAGTGCTGCTCCACAACCCTGAGAGCAAGCACTCCCATGCCTGGGCACGGCTCTGAGGGCCACCACCACCACTGCAAAAAGGAACATTTGACCTCTTCTGTGTTTTGAGAAGCACAGATAGAAACAGCTTGGAAAAGTACTTGTTATGATGATTTAAGAAAACACAGAAGGGTACAGGGAGTTGTGTAGGAGGTGTCTGAAAACAGCTGAGCAGGGCTGACCTCCCCATCCAGCCTTGTGTGTGCCATGAACTCACTCCCCAAACAAGCCCTGCTGTGCAAGGGAATGGCATCTCCTTTACTCAGCAGGGACTCGGGAGTTTCTCACTGTGGGGGACATCCTCACTCATCTCCTGTGGCTTTGGGGGCAAGTGACCTCCCTGTGCTTTGGGTAACCACCCTTGCCTACCTGCTGAGCTACAGAGACCAACAGCATCCTGGGTAGTGGTTTTTGGGAGCCTGATAGCAGTCTCCAGTTCTGTAAGAGGCTGTGTAGCCTCCAGTTCTCCTCAGGCACAAACTTGAGGATAAACAGGAATAACCATGTGCAAATACTACTGCTGGACTAAGTGGAATTCCTGCCCCTTCCTCTCTACTTGACCCGGTGCATATCCACACTCTTGTACCACAGATAGGGAGCAAGTCACAGTGGCTGCTGAGACAGAGAATACTATGGCAGCTGCAGGGCAGAAGCTTTGTAGATCTTGCACCACAGTGATGCTCAAAGAGGTGACCTTTTGTTCCTGTTGGTAATCTGGTTGGTCAGATCTGAGAAAGGAAGAATAAGAAGGGAGGAGCAGACTCCACAGCAGGCTGGAGGACTCGGTTCTTGAGGAAAAATGGCATTGCAGCATTCACGAGACAGAGCACAGGTGTCAGCCCCAGCCTGCCAAAACCCTCAGGAAGATACCCCAGGGCAAGATTTTCTCCTGCAGATAAAAGACAACTTACTGCTTCATGGATGGCAGTCAGTTCATGTCTCCTGAAGCTGGAGGTGTTCCTCCTCACCTCCTCATACACAAAATCATACACATCCATCATGCTGTCTTCCACCTGCAATGAAAGCAGAGGTCTGTAGGTACAAAACACTGACCACAGTCATCTCTGGGTGGAATTGTGCTCTTCTTGATTTCCACAGAAGCTCTCGCAAGTATAGCAATACAGGCAGTGCAATTACTAAAATGACCCCCAGGCAGCAGCAGGAGCAGGTGTGTGACCCACCAGGCACTAAGGAGCTGGGGTCTCACCAGCTGATGGCTGGAGCTTTTGGCCAGTTTTGGATTTTGTGTCAGAGAAGAACTTGGGTGCCTGCAACCAGTGTGCCTCTGAGTCGCTCTGCCAGCCAGGGCTGACGCCATCTGCCCATCCTGAAGGTGGTACTGTGAGGACAGGCACACATGACCATGAGATGCTAGAAAACAAAAAGTGAGAGGACCTCAGAGGGTTGGTGTTACCTAAGTGGCAGAGCCATCTCTCTGAACAGAGTAAAAAAAATAATGGGAATGATTCAGTGGTGAGTCAGACCCTAAATATTTACCAAATGTGTGAGAACTTGAAGCTTGACAGATCCCAGCCAACTCCCATTCGGGTGTCAGAGAAAAAAAATATGACAGTTGTCCTCAGTGCCTGGAGTCAAAATCTTATTTTTTCCTTTCATTTTCCCTTGCTTCCTCAGCAGCACCGGTCGAGTGGCCTGCAGTCAGTGCTTGTCTTTCAGGAGGGAAAAAATCAATGGGAGAGACAGGCAGAGTGGGTGGCCACACAGGGAAATCTCTGGGAACAGAGCCATCTCTCAGCGAGGCTTTGCAGCTCAGCCTAAGGGTTCACACTTGGAAATTCCTCTAAGGAATAAAACCCCAGCACTCTCTGCTCAGGGGTGAAACCAGGATCATTCAAGGTGGTTGCATCTATTACTGCAAGGTTGCTTTGTCCTGCCCAGCTGTCCAAAACACAAGCAACAACAGAGGGTGATAACCAGGGAGGTGGGGGGGTTGAGAAGATTATTTGTATCCAGATTGGCTCTGTGCCTCCAGGAATAGAGTTTGAAGGCATACATCAAAAGATTTTCCACAGCTATCAACATGGCATAAGAGTGACCAGTGACAGAGCTCAGATATTATGGGCCAAGAAAAAATACTCCACAGCAAAATGTGTGACACTGAGCTGTTCCACACTAGTGAGGAAGAAGGATGCTCCTTTTGTCCCCCTGGGGTATCAGAGTGCATAAAGTGAGCTGGGTGCAACAGTAAGACCAGATTTCTAAACGACTTCTGCACCAACCTTCCCCACAGCAAACCTTATAACCCAATAATGAAGAAAATATCCAAGCTTTTCTAACTTCTTGTGGGCCATGAAATAGCTTTCCAGAAGCAGCAATTAAATAAATGGATTCAATAAAAAGAACGTCCATTTCCACTGAAGAATTGGATTAAGAATAATGAAAAAAAGAATAATATTTGAGCTTCTCTTGTGGAGAAAAGAGCAACAGAGCAGCAGGTTTCTTAATGTAAGCGATTATTACCTTTTAAATATCCTGATCCCAGTCTAAGATGTAGGAATAAAAACTATTTTGTGCTATGACAACATACATATGTGTTTTGGTAAGGGAACCAGTGCTGCATGCACAATATTTGTCTTTTCATATTTACCATGAGGATCAGGATGCTGAGCTTTTGTCCAAAAGGCCTAAATTTGGATGACTTTAAAAGAAAAAAATGAAAGGGTTCAAGCAAGCAGCTATGTTCAAGGAAGGGTTCAAGGGGTGAAAGCAATCCAGAAGTTTAACTACTTTCTAAAGGTCTCTTGAAATCTGGGCCAAGGAATACTGGGAGAGGTAGCTGTCTGAAGGAGAAGAGTGGATAGGAAAGATCTGAAGGAACAAAATGCCTGTAACAAAACAGTGGCTCAAAATTATTTCAGCTGTTGGAAACAATAATTGAAAAAACCACAAGCAGTTATAATTTCACAGCCAGCTCAGCTACACTGATGGAAATGATAATGGTAATCTCCAGGTACATAATGACTACCAAAGACTTCAACTGCACCCTTTCTGAGCTTGCTTCTGAGCTGACTTCTGTTACCTACTGATTTTTTCATTCTCATTTTATCAAGCAGCCTCCAAGAGCTGAAAACACAAGTCATTAAATGGAAAATGTTTAATAGCAATAATTTCCTTTTAGAAAGTGTGTCTGGGCAAGCCTAAGAGTACAATTTGCTGATTAGTCATTCTCAGCATTTCTATCTTGCAATTATATCAAGCATTTATATCCAGACATTATCTGAATAGGCTATTCAGATCCTAGTAAGGGAATATCAAACTCTAAATCCATTTTTTAAAGAGTGAATAGCTTGTAGTTCCACCACATCCTCTTTTTGATTTTTGCTAGGATCATTTGATTTTGGAGGGAAAAACTGCTGTTTTCATACAACATAATGGTCTGTTTTCAAAGACTACTGCAGACAGCTTTCTCATTTAAATACTTCAGAGGTAGGTAGATGGTAAAAAATCTCAGTATTTATCACTGGCTATTTCCTTCTGTGCAGAAGACTGTGCCACAGAGCATACAAGAGGTCTGGTTTAATAAGAGAAGACATAAGAGAGCAAAACACCACGCTTAGCTGCCTGGGATGGGATTATGTTTATACTCAGAGCTGCAGCCAAGCTCTGAAGCATGGGTCATGCACGGCAGCATCTATCCAGCCCAAAACATTGTGCTCACTCATGCATGCCTGATGATGTAAAAATTAAAGCCTGAAAGCGTGAGACAGTCACCTGGTGGTTTCATGACTTATTTGCAGCATTGCTACATCCAGCAGAAGTTCATCCCTGTATTTTCCATTGATCCAGCTCCTAGCACAGTGAAGAGCTAGACTGCAGCATTGCTTTGTAGTCAATTGCCATCCTCAACAGATTCCCATCACACACGCCCCTGATGGGCAACTTTGAGTCCATTGCCTCAAGACAATTTTCTCTTTCTGTACCTTACACTGGTTGTTGGGGGAAAAAAACATTAAAAATACTCAGGGTGCTTTTGCTCACGTTTAAGCGAAACGAAAGCGAAAGGATGACTGTTGAGTTTGAGGGCTTACACTGCTGCTGTTAATAATGTCCTTTAAGATAAAGAGCTGTGTCCCATCACTTAAACAGTACTTAGCATGCAATGGGCAGATATAGCTGGAGAAGAGAAAGTCCATCTGTTTTTCAAAAGGTCTTTCACTCCTCCCACATATAAGCATCATAATAGTCAAGTGGATTTTCCTGTTCCTAGTGACATGCTGTGATCCACTGCTGGAAGAGTTCTGCTGGACAAAGCTCTCCCTTGGAGGGAGACTGAGCCTGCAGTGCTCATCAGTAAGAAACACCATGAGCTGAAGGTAAAGCATCAGCTGGGCTTTGGCTAAGAAAAATCTCCAGCTTGAGTGATATGGAGGTCACACCTCAAAGTAATTCTTTTCCTGGAAGAAGCTGGGTGAAATGTTCCAGCTCTAAATCAGGTAAATAATTGCTGCCTCCCACTTCTGTCTGCATTCCTTAATGAAATATTCATTTAGGAATGATATTGATGGGTTGCTGGATACAACAAATGGAAAATCACCACTGAAATGAATGCAGCTGACTCCAACTGACTCAGTAAGTACCATTTTTCACCTTAAGTAAAAGAAAAAAGGAATTTTGAGATTATTTATCATCCTCTAAATCCTTTATCTCCCAAGAAGCAGAATGTATGACTGCAGGAAGACATGTACTCTAAGCAATTGGAGTTCTTGCCTTTGGCTATTAAAATGAAAGCAAATTTCCACCTTGCCTCTTTCAAGAGGAAAACTGACATTTTTGACTTCAGTTATCAGGATAAGTTTTACCTGTAACTGGATTTGGGACAGAAAGATGACACAAGGTCTGCCTTCAGTTCCTGATGCCTTTGCAAGCCAAAGATGCCAATGAATCCCAATCCTGCTGCCAGTGAATGCCTGTGTCTAGGCAACCTGGAAGTGCCACATAAGTGGAAACTAATGTAGACTTGCTTCTACATTAGTTTCCACTAACAAGAACAATGGTCTGAGTCTTAGTGAACCACCTTTGCAACTGCTGTTGGGTAAAAATCCCTCTGCAAACCTCAAGGCGAACACAGTGAAAGGAGATATCAGGATTGCCTCAAAGACAAAACCACCTTCCTCCTTTCCAATAAACAGGAACACTTGGCATGGCAGAGGAGAAAGACAAGCATGGGAAGCAGGAGGAAGATCCTCCGCTCCTATGGGTCTTTGTGCCTTTGAGGAATCAAACTGAGCAGATGCAGTGCAGGCTCAGAAGAAACTGCAATCTCAGCACTTTGTGTTCTTTCAGCGTCACCACAGAGGATGCACTCACCAGCCTCACTCAGAAATGTCCCTCTAGAGGTGGCTACTGCAGACTCCCATGCTCAGCTATGAACTGCAAGCTAGACAATTAAGAAGTGAAACTGTAATAAAGTAGCAAACTCAGTCAAAACTCTTCCTTGTTCCAAGAAGAAAAACACTTCTGCATTTTGCTGTCTCTGTCTTCCCTTTCCTCCCCAGCGTGCAGAAATGCATGCATTCACAGCATGCCAGAAACAGGGGTGGGGCAGTTGCAACAGCTTGGGTTTGGGCAAAGCAATGACGCAACTGCAGTGAAATAGGGGAGAGAAAGCCACTCTGGGGGCATTAGCCAGGCTGCAGAGCAACTCCCACCACATGGATCAAACACATGGTAAGATGAGCTTGCCCCATTCATGCTCAACCAAGCCCCATCTAACACAGTCATTGCAGCTTGCTGTATGTTCTTATTTCCTTCGCTGCCCGTCAGCTTCTCTCCTTTAGAGCCTTCCTCTAACCAGTCATTCCCAGATGCAGAAATCCAGCCAGTGCTGCAAATTAGAGCAGCCTTTTGGGTCTCCCGTGGAAAATGGCACAAGATAAGAAGGTGCTGCTCCCCCTCTGACTGACAGTGGTCACTGGAGACCACAGATGCCACAAGCCACATGAGGCTTTTAGCCACTTTTTCCGCCTCCAGATCAGATTTTGTATCTATCTAT